CAATAAATATATAATTCTGACTGATACCAGCTTTTGAATAGTACGAATAAATAAAATATATCTACATAAAAAAAGGTTGCAAAGTATATATATAAATACAATACCGTATTTAAAATAATTATTCCTTTAAAATTTTTCTTAACATTCAATATATATAATGTCTCACGCGATTCTAATGTCACTTTTGTTCACAAATCATGGATCGAACACAATCGAAATATATTATTTGAATAAGCTTAAGCACACTGAAATCACAGAAATTGTATGTTCTTTTTTTCATGGATGCAAACCCCATATTCTTGTTTCTTTCTACATTTATGATGGAGAGATAAAATCATCCCTTCTAAGTACCCGAAATAAATACTGACCCAGCCTGTGATGAAAAATTACTTAACGCAAGAGAGGCATGACTATTGCATGAAATATATAACACACAAAACTTATAAATTTATTGGCATAAAAGTCTATATAAAAGAATTTTCTACAAAATTTGGCTTTATGACCTTGTGATTTTGGAGGATCAAGCCTTTTCCAGAAGTATGATTAAATATATTACCTAAAAAAAAAACATTTTATTTTATTTGGTGAATCGTATTTTAACGTTATATATTTTTAAATAAATAAATAATAGTAATCAAATAAAACTATTTATTCCTTTCCTATTTTTCATTACCGGAAAGTAGTCAGTGAAAATTAAATATTACGTACAATAACTTTTTCACACTTTTTTTAATACACATAATTTGTTTTTAATTAAGTAGAACGCTTTTTTAATTTAATTAAATCACATAATTTTATTGCACTCTTTGATATTTCTAATAATTCAATTTTTCAACCGAAGATACCGCCACCAAGTCCGCCAACACCAAATCCCTTCGATTTAAATTGAACTTTTCCAAAACCAAGACCACCACCAATAAAACCTCCACTTCCATATCCACCATAACCATAGCCAGAGGCATAAGATGGTATTGTTTGTACTGTTGAAATGGTCGAAACGACGGGAACTGTGGTAATAACAGGCACAGTCTGTATTATCGGAACAGTTTGTATGGGTGTTGTATAAACTGGTGCAGTAACACCACCAACGAAGCCACCAACTACACCACCTCCAACAATACCACCACCACCACCGCCCCCAATCAAATGACGAGTTTTTCGCACTTTGGTGTTGTCAATATTAATTGCATCCACTGATGTCTCCAATGGATTTTGAGGCTGTGTCAGCAGTGCTACTGTTTCAATAGGTTGAGCCAATATTTGTTGTTGTTGGAGCAATATGAAACATACAAACATGACCAACCCTTTAAACAACATTGCGACGGTTTTGTCTAATATTTTTTTCTTTTTTTTACGCAAAAACAAATTATTTGCTTTAATTTTTTAATATTTTTTAACGCTGTCAAAGTTTTGGCTTAAAGCTGTGCGGCCAGTTAGCGTCCAGCGCTGGACTACTTGTGATTTCTGTTTGAATTTTGCAATATTTTCGGCATTTATATTAAAGTAAATTACTAAAAGTTTGATGAATTTTAATGTGATTATGTGCAAAGTTTATCTTTTTAATTCACACCTGCAAAAACGAAAAATGAGATTCACTGAAAATTTGTCTGTTTTAAATTTTTAAAAAATAGTATTTCATATAAAACTTAAAAATCAGTTTAAAGGGCAATCAGATTTAATCTTTTATCTTTTAAAATTTTCAAAATATTAAATCAACTATCAACAAATCAGATATATTGATGACTTTAAATTTTAAGAAATTTTAAAGCAAGAACTACAACTTTTTTCAAAAAAAAGAATTTGTTTATTTTTAAAATTGATAACAATTGAAAAAGACCAATAACTTCTACGTATTTTAGCTTATTTCTATAAAAACATAATATAAACAATCTTTGTTCATCAGAAATATGAATCTGCTTTTTTGAGATTCATCAAAACTGCAGCCTTAGGAAGACAAGACTCATGTATATGCTTCTTTTATAGTCTCTCAGCATATTTTCTTCTTTCTATGATTATTTTGTTTACAAATTTATATTGTTTTCAAGTGTTTCATCTGTTTTTATATTTTTATCTACTACGGAGAGCTCACTTCAGTCATAGACTTTTGTATTTATTTACAAAATACTAAAAATCTTAAAATAATTTTAAAACAATGTTTGATTTAATAACAAATAGTTATTAATTATTTGCAAAATAAACGGATTAATAATTGATATCGTTTTCAATGAACATTAAAAATATCACAAAAAAAGGAGTACATAGGGCGTTCTAAAAGGTATCCGCCTGAACACTAAGCGGATATATTACAACCAAATTTTATTTTTACGCAAAAAATTTTAGAAAACAATCTTAAACATATAAAAATGAAAGTCTTTATGGGATAATAATCGTTTCTTCGGCGTAGTCACACACAATATCAGACATTCAAAAGACCATATGACTCTACGACCGCACCCATTTGACATCTCTAGGTTATTGTAGCCGAAACTTAATAAAAAAAAGTAACAAAATTTACTCAAGTACCTAGTAAAGACATCGTATATCACAGACATCGCTTAAAAAGATATCAAGTACCTTTATAATCATGTCTTGAATAACCAGTCACTGGTTATTTGACAGACACGCTCTACGTTGGAAGCATTAGAGCATCTATAAAAAAGTTTAAATTATGAATAAATTATGTCATAAAATAAGCGACAAAGAAATGATATATATTTTTATATGTTAAGCTTAAAACTGTTCGAACACCCCTCGTATATAAAACAATGCTGAACTAACAATGAATGGTTAAGAAATTTCAGTTAAATTGTAATATTTATGTACATATGTTATTTTCTGAAATAAATATATACCTGCTTTAATCTGAGTCTGAGCATTAGCATCTCGCTAAATATATGAGAAGGTTATTGGCATGGAAACTACTATCGAAGTTTAACACATCAATTTTAACAGTTGTGACCACGTGCATGGATGGATAAGTCGGAGCATAAATACAATACACAACTTCCAACATAAACAATTATGAAATTCAAAACAAACATTTGAAAAAATTTACAAGTTTTTTTTTTGTATACTTGGAAATTCAATAATTTTTTCGCAATCAATGAGTCTTAGAAAATAAACAAAATTTTAACAAAAAAACACATAAAAACCTTAAAAAGATTGAAACCTATATTCACAACGTCAGAAACTTAAGAAGAAGTTGGAATTATTTAGAGAAGAAATTTTTTATACACAATACAGTATGAAAAATATTAGTTTTTTGATATTTCTAAAATTCCTGTTAATAATAAATACAGACTGTGCAGATACTGAAAATCACTCAGACCTAACATTAAAAGCTGTTAATCAAAATAGACTTACGCGTTCTCTAATAGCAAATGAACCAACGATCCAAGCTGTGCCAATAATTTCTCAATTACCAATTGTGCAACAAGTCCCTATAGTGTCAAGTGTGCAACAACCAATAGTGGGTGGCGGTGGTGGTGGTGGTGCAGGCATTGCTGGTATAGGTGGTGCAGGTATTGCCGGAATTGGTGGTGGAGCAGCAGCGGGTGGATTTGCGGGAGCTGGTTTTGGTGGAGGTTTTAAACGTTATCGTGAAACTTATCATATTAAAGCTCGTGGACTCGGTGGTGGTTTCGGCAGAGGTTTCGGTGGCGGCGGCTTTAAAGCGCGTTATTCTTCTGGTGGTTTTGCTGGTGCAGGTGGTTTGATTGGAGGTGCCGGAGTAATTGGTGGCGGAGGAGGATTAGCAGGTGCAGGACTGTTAGGTTAATAAAATATTCTAATATATTGATACAATGTTTAATTTATTTAAAAACTAAGAATTTGAATTGAAAATAATTAAGAAATTTCTATAAAATTATAAGAAATATATTTAAATCTGCAATTAAGTTAAAGTAAGTAAACGAGTACATATTAATGAAAATAGCTTCGTAAGATGAATTTTAAATGTCATTTCAAATCGACTTTTTAGATATAAATTGATCAGTGACGACTACAGGACCACTAAATTTTTATATTTTATGTCATAAAACATGCATAATATATCTGATTCTATTACTTAATTCTTATCTAAATACAATTATTGTATTTGAAGTTATTTGAATTACTTTACTTGAGCTTTCACTTACAACTAAGCCATCATGCCTAAGTGATAAAATTAGATATTATATTGGTTTAGTTCTTTAGCTATGTTAACACTATTGTATTAAATGTTTATTATAGATGAAATTCAGTCAGTATACGATTACTATTGTATTTAACTCGACAAATATGCAGAAGGTATGCCATTTCTCACACAAAATCTTATAAGAATATACTAAAGAGGTGCAAGAAGTTAAACTGTAACATAGTATAAACTGTAAACATAGTATATATGCACTATATTACTCATACCTTTTTTTAATTTTTCAATGAAATATAATATTACTTATATTGCTAAACACACTTTTTTGTGTTTCATTAGAAACTTAGTAAGAAATAGGTGTTAGAATTAAACTCAATAATATGATTAAACTTAAAATTCAAGGTTTTATTCATAATACTATATAGGTTTGGAAAATCCAAATACAGCAAATTTTAAATAATTTGTAACAAACTTTAAAAAGATAAAATCTTCAGGTTCTCTAAACAAAAAAAAAGCATACAGTATGAGTAAACCATTCCATTAATTGCAATAGCTAATAAGTGAGAACTTATACAAAACATAAAGTTTCGTAGTTATACACATATCCATATACGAATAAAACGTGCAAAATTAATTTCAAATTTGTTTTTGTACATGGGCACCCTGTTTCCTTGTTGCACATATTTTGCTGACTTGCGCAATTCAACCCCAACTATGCCACTCACAAACAGTGTTGCCCGCAATCGAGAATTTGTTTAGAAGCAAACAGAACCACAGGAAAATTCATGCCAAAAAATTCACTCAATTAAAAAAGGCAGGAAGCCTCTTCAATGTTATTCCAATTTGAATTCAGTTGCTTAACTCAAAGTGTCGAGTGTGGTCGGTTTCTAAAGTGGCAAGTGGAATATACATGTATTTATGTACGTATGTACACAGTACATATGTATCATGTGATAAAAGTAGAAGCGGACAAATTCCCTGTATATATTTAAAATAATTGACATTAATAGAATGAATTCATATAAATTTAATGTAATAAATTAGTGCCGTCATAGAAAGCGTAGTGTAACAAAATAAAATTACAAAATACCCGTGAATACAAGTCACTCCTTACCCCGTAAATGTATTAAATCACACATAAAATAACTAAAAATTTAGGTGAACAGCACGCAGCATTATTATTCCTCGACGACGTTGTCTAAAAATAACGTAATAATTTCTTATAATATTTTTTAATTTCTTGCTAAACCAAGCAACAAAGTGAAATAATTTTGGTTTGTTTTATTTTAGAAAAAATAAATACAAAAAAAAAAAACAAAACAGCCAAATATATCACGCATGTTTTATATTGTATTGCAGCATAAAAATATAATTTCTATCATTTTAATTAATAATCATAAATTTGAAATAAAGAATAATTTTAAATTTCATAATAAGATAACCATAAAAAAGTATTGTAATCATATTTATATGATATAAATTTTAAATTTTAAATTGTATTAATTTAAATATTTCCTTTTAATATTAGTGAATTTTCATTGAAACAAGTACCATAGGATACATCAGCGAAAAGACGGTAAGCTAAGTTAATTTAAACTAAAATATTTAAGAATTATAACAAATATGAAATAAAGCTTCTTTAATGAATATTGAGATTCATTTTGTTAAGATAATTTATTTTCAAAAAAGTTTAAATAAAATTCAAAATTTTTGCAATATTTTATGTTGCAAAACGCTCATGAATTTCTAAACAACAAAACTTCTTCTCTGTCCCTTTTTGAGCAAATTCTAAAAGGAACTATCCCTCATAAAACAACGGTAACGAATATTCTTCAAAGATTCTCCCTTTTGTTTTTCTCAATTGTTATCCTCTCTTCTCACACAGTCACTCACAAAGTGCATTTGTAATAATTTATACTACATTCATATTACAAATGATTGAAGCAGGGTGTTTTTTTCTTCAATTTGAAGAATCTGACTGATACCCTAAAGAAGTATTTGAAATATTTAGAATAGAAATATATTTTAAGATCCCTATTTGAAAGAAATATATTTATTAGTTAAATTATGAAATTTTTTTTTCTTCTATTGTTTTTAGTGGTTCTTCACATTAGGTGTAAGAACAACATTTATCCGTAATATGAAAATGAAGTAATATTTGAGTTCAAATCGGCTTTGGTACGCAAGGCGGCCACTTTAACCTAACACGATTTTAACATTGAAATAGTTTTAAGGAAGATTTTTTATAAAAAATACGGATATACCGAACAAAAATAAGAATTTAACAACCCTTCTTTATCCTTTTTTAGTTTTTCTTTACCGTCGTTGCTTTTTCATTGTACGAATGCAGTACTCCTTTGATAACTGTTACAGGCCCGTGGTCAGAAATGAAGTTTGTGGTGGGACTTTAAAATTTTTTCAGTGTAATAAAATAATTTGTTATTTTAGTGCACAATTATGATAAGTTAATAATGAATATCTTTTACATACATACATAAAAATATAGTCCTTCGGTTCATTTGAAGGGCAGCTTCAGCCCCTCAAGCACGCTCTAAGTGCCATAACTGTTACTATTATTGTATTCGTATAGGTATATGCTTGTATATGCTAGTATAAATTACAACAAATATAAAGTTCAAGAAAAAATAACTTTGTTGTTTTTAATATAGTATTATCTATCAGGAAGTAAAAAAAAAGATATTGCAACATATGAAAGAAAAAGAAAAAAATTATTTGGTCTCATTTTTTGTTTAAATATGTATTTATTTTTAAATTAATTCACCTTTTGATGGTTTTGACATTTTTTACTTGAACTTGACGGTGAATTGTCAAGCATTGATCTGTGTACATTCCTTTAACGTAGGTTTACTATATTTATACAATTTTATAATAAAAATAATATCACACTTCTGAGCTTAAAATGACAAGATATTATTATAACCACGATAAAAAAAATTTATTAATATACGTAAATAACTATTTAAGAAATATTTAGCACATTTTTTATTGAAATAATTATTACATAAAATTGAGGTTTATTGACTAAAAAGGATGCAGTTAATATAGCATTACTCTTGGTATAAAGCATTGTATAGGTCATAAAGCTTTAAAATGTTAAACTAAGGCCTATATGTCAAAACTTGTCTAGACTTTGGGATCACTGAAATGTATTCAAAGGTTTCTGAACTAGAGCATTATTCGGGTAACCACTTAGTTTATTAATCCGTATAGAGAACTCCTGAAGTGCACTGAAGACTACTGAACATATTGGAAATATAAAATTAGACTTTATAATGAATTTAAGTTTAGTTTTTAAAAATTGTATTAAAAGTTACTATAAGTTTATTAATCTCTGTAGTGAACTCCTGAAGTACACTGAAGACTGCCGAACATATTGAAAATATAATATTAGACTTAATAATGAATATAAGTTTATTTTATAGAAATTGTGTTAAACCACATTTTGTTTTTTCTAAAGGATTTGATCTAATACGCCACTAAAAACTTTAAACTTGTAATGAATAATATAATAATATAATTTTAACTTTAAATTGATAATAACTGTTAAATTGATTCCTAAAAACTATTTGCAGAACGAATTGATTTCTCTGTAATCATCTATGCACTACTCTCCTCTGATAAAATTTATTTATTATTTGTACGATAATAAAATATATACCATATATTATTATTATTAACAAAAAGAAGTAAAGTCATAGTTAATATTGTTAACACTTTAATACCCTCTACACTGATAGTTTTGTTGCAAGAGAAATTATAAAATATATCATTAGATTAATTGATGTAGGAATAACGATTGACAGGCAGCCAATAATTTTGTAATAAAATTATATTTAATTAATCTTAACATTAATTAAATATAAACAAAAATTATATATTAAAGTATTAAATCCACAAGTTACATTCCTCCATGTGAATAATTTTAAATTTAAAATTAACACAGACTAAAGTATAAATTTATATGGATTTTAGAACTTTGTCCACACAAATTCCTATTATTTATTTATTTCTTCCGTTCTCACACAACATTTTAACTTAAAATAAACAAACAATGCGATAAAATACAGAAACAATATCCATATTTGGCAGATGTCGAAGTTGCAAGGAAAAGTGTTCCACCCACATTGACGTAGGTTTATTCGAAATCTGAACCTTCAAGAAATTTTAACTAGTTCAAGGTTATGTTCAAACTAACTTGCTTTATGAAACATACGAGTGTGGGAACGTACATTGTACATTGGTATATGCTTTTGAGTGCAATACTTCCGGTGCTCAACTCTCCTCGTACAGAACTATTCAATTCGTTTAGTGAAATGTCATTTCTTAACAACAAAAGAGCAAAAATAACTGCATAACTGTCAACTGCTCAGTTTGAGAGAATTTCGGCTTTCAAAGGACGCTCAACTTGAAATTATTTCCATATTTTTTTTTTTTTTAATTTTTTTTTCGTGATATATTTTGTTCAATGGCTTTGCGTGTTTTGTTTTTATTTTATTGTCCTTGAAGTTTTCTCTGATTTACACTTGGGATTGTGTTTAGATTACTGCTTTAATTAGCAAATTGCCCTATGTGAGATTTGTAATGTGAAAATAAAAAAGACATAAATGCAAGTAATTAAAATTCTGAAATCAAATTAATAAATTAAAATATTTTTAAATTAAAAAATTATGAAATTAAATTCGAAATAACAAGCCAGAAATTTTAATTTATATTTTGTGTTTTTGATAATAAACTTCCAGTATTTAAAAATATTAAGTACAGTATGTCTCTTAAACTGTTGATCTTAAAAATGGTTTAAAAGATAATTATATAACAAATTCTTAGCTAAGTAATTATGTATTCTTTCAACTTCTTTTAAGCGTTCTACGCTAATTTTTTTCATATAAAATTTTATTCAATAAGCATGAAAAAATAAGCACTGTATTAATGCAGTGTAAACAGATCATATTGTCTTTTAATTTATTCGGAGATAATGTAAAATAATTGAAGAACCCACGATACTTAGCGATTACAGTGCTTAACCTTAAATATTTATATTCACGTATGGAGTTACTTATTTAAAGAAAACTAACCCTCCAGGTTAGTACTACATATAACAATATAGATTTAGATATATTTAAAATCAACTTCCACTTTTATTATCTTTAGTATTAAGCATTAATAACGTGAGATCTGCCGACAATCCATCTGGACGAAGGCGATGTTAACATGTTAAAGTCACGCACTGACTTGAACTTTTGATGCCTTTTATAAAAAAATCCAGATATAGACAGATAGACACAAACTAATAGGTGGATAGGTTGTAATAGATAATTATAAAAATTTGGTAACATTCGATCTGGATATCTGAAACCAACCAATTTAAGATAATTTTTAATTTTAAGATAATTAAATATTATTTTAAGACTCTTCAAATTTAAATGCGATCTGACATATGAAAAACATATTATAAAAGGACAACCAGTTTTTTCCTCCTTTGTACTTTATAACGAGACTTTAGCACCAAGTTTAGGTCCATCGTTGTTTAACCAACGTCGGATTTCTATAACTTTTTTCCATGAATATAGTCGAAGTGTTAAGGAATGCCGACTGTTGCAATATTAAAAGCATTACCTGCAATTGAATCTATTTTTAGTTTATTAAGTAAACTTCAAATTATTGCTTAATATTTTTTTATAATATTAATAATTTTTTTTGTTTTTCAATATCATATAGTCATACAAATATTTTCTATTGAGGAATATTCCTTCTATCATGCCCGGTTTTGATACATCTTCCTTTGAACTAGGGTTTTTTCGAAAATTCGTTATTTCGGAACAAATATTTTAAGCTTGAACATAGCCTTGTAATTATTAAATGGTTATATTACATGTTTTTATATAATATTTAAATATTAATCTTTGGACAAACATGTTGTCATAACCGATGAAGTTCGACTGTGATGCGATTATTGCTACTTGAAAAGTTTAAGAGTTAGTCTCACTGAAGTAGTTATTCATAAATTAAATTTTATTAATCAACTCTTAATACTACTATTTTTAATTTATTGAACTCGTATATAAATTTTAAAATATTTTAAAAACAATATAATTGTATTATTCGTAAAACTCATTAATAACGTTAAAACGTTAAATAACTTAATCATGTATAAAATATGTTAAATTTTAAGCTTAAACTCTTGTGTATTTTCAGTTAATTATGACTCTCATTTGATGAAAGTTTCTAAATTTAGCACACTTACCATAAGAATCTCGGCATTTGTTTTTATATTTTATATATATGTACATAAAAAACTCAGCAAAAATAAATATTATACAACCTGTAGCAACATTTTGCAACGTTTTAATAGCCTCGTTGAAGGCAATTTGACGTCAAAAGGAAACATTTTTGTCGCTGTTACTGTCACAAGTCTTTATGAATATGAAACTTATTTCTAAAACAAAATTTCAAAGCTTATCTGGGCAGTCTATGCAAGGATAACACCATTGTGTGTATTTTCTTTATATACTCGTACATGTATAATATGTGTATATATAGGTATATATATGCTTCAGT